AGACAGTCTGAAAATAATTCTGTTAAGTATGTTTAAGCCTGAGCTACAGATATAAGATGGTAACCAGCAGCTATAGAGAGCTAACTTGTTCAAGTCATTGAAAATTTCAGCCCTAAATCCCATTGGAATTTTTAAGCACATTAGCCACCACTATATATGAAGCATATCTATACCATGAGGAGCCACTTTTTCTGATGCACTTTTTAATAAAGCCATAATTAAACCCACACTAAGAGAATGAGCTAATTTGTCAAAGGCTCAAAGCACAGCAAAATAAATTGTCAAGTGAACATAAATGTAAGGCTTAGTACATGAAATAAGAATTCCTTATCATACTTAAGCAGATGTCTCCCCAAAAAACTGTATTTCTATAAATACCAGCTAAGATTCAGAAGTTTTGCACCTTGATAATATCTCACATGAGACTCTTAGGATGTGGAAAAGAAAAGACACCTTATTGGGTTCTCTTCTTTCCTTTCCCCCCTCTTCTGTGGTGTTATGGGCTTAAACTGTGTCCTGAAATACTTGAGTCAGAAATAGCCCACTGGAGAGCTAGATGGAGCATTTAAAGAGTGCTATTTGGTTATCAGGTCTCAGATCTCTTTCAGCATCATTGTTTTAGGTTATTATTGGCCTGAATTTTATCTGCAGTCTTCTTCTCCCTCTCAGATCCTCTGATTTGCCTTTTGTCCAATCCTTATGGACTTTTAGAATTTTTTTTTTTTTTTTTGGTACAAGTAATTTTCTGATCCCAGGCTTGGTACATATGTTATCATCTTGCGAATACATAATGAGTGATCTGCTGAACAATTGCAGTTGTAGAATTATGTTGTATGTAATGTACATATGGAGAAAGAATGTATTTTGTTCATTTTCTTAATAAAAAATTATATAGAGACACCACAGAATGTCTTGTGTTTGCCAAAGCTACTTTGAAATCACCTTTTTGGATATTTATGCACTTTGTATTTCTTCTTCAAACGGTGAGTTTTATTCAGATTTCCCCAGATGTTTTCTTTTGAGATCATACTCAAGGAAGTACTAGTGGATCTCGCAGAGCTCCTGGAGAAGTTTTAATTAATTAATTAATTAATTTATTTATTTATTTTGGTAACAGTGATCAAACTCAGGACCTTGCATTTGCAAGGCAGGCAATGGAACCACTGAACTAAATCCCCAGCCCAGAAGTTTTCATTTTGAATGAACACTGACAAATTATTTCATGAAATGCTTTTCTATCTGCTGTTAAAAACCAGTCTTATTTTATCTGTTTTGTGAAGTTGGACTTGTCACCCAGGTTTTCTTTAAGGGGTATATACTTGTACCAATTAGCAACTAGAAGGAAATGATGAACTAAAATAGAAAGTTGTAGCAAAGATAGCACAAAGAAAGAATCTGGAAGTATTGATTTTGCAAAATTTCTGGGTTCCTGTCCCCAGTGGAAAAAAAAAACTCTTACATGCCTGGCCATGGAAAAAAAGAAAAGCAAACTCAGAAATACACCAAATAAAGGCAGAGAATGCGACAGTTGAGTTGTGTGTACTGTCTGGGTAGACATGCAGATTGCTCAGCCCTTGTCTCTCCTCATCTGCTTCACTTGTTCTTGGCTTTGTGATCCTGCATTCTGGGGTGAATTGTCACTTATTTATTCAAAACAGGACCTATGTTTTCTTACTTTACAAACCAAATGCCCCGTATCTTACTGTACAGCTTTCATTTCTAAAGTGTACTCACTCAGAAAGCTCCTTTCTGTTCTGAGCTTCGAGTGTGGGTGAAAGCTCAGAAATCACATTTCTTTTTGTTCTCAAAACAGGAAAACAAACCTGAGGTTTAGTGATAAAGTAAGATATTGGCCTTTCCTTAGTTAATCCTCCAGAGAATTAAAGAGTTCAAAACATGGGATACCACTTTTGACGTATTTGTCATTATCTTCTGGCCAGAAGACAGCAGTAAGCAAAGAAGGCTTGGTTGAGATGCAGACTGCTCACTTGATTATAGAGACCCACAAAGATTTAAGTTGCTTATGGCCATGTGTGCTCAAGCTCACATTCTAAATTTCACAGAAATTGGAAAACATTACTGTCCCTGGAGAAGAAGGCAACATTCTTTACCACTAACCCTTCAGATCCTACAGATCTGTGACTTGTAAGACCAGTTGGCTCTCTGGAGGCCTGTGCTGGTTCTGTACAAGTTTAGATACTACGCAATATTTGCTCTTCCTTTGTCTTGGAAGGAGAAAAGGAAGACAGTCTAGATTTTTTTTGTGACATAGGAAAAGGGACAGCAGACCATAATACTTATCCAACTAGTTTATCTGACAGCACAGGAGACTGCCGCCCTGTTGGGTAGTTTGTTGTCCTTTTAGAGATACCATGATGAGAGGAAAAACTTGGCTAAAAGTGGCCTGTCCTAGTGTGTGCTGTGCCAGTAAGTTTTGATGGCTAGCAAACCCCAAAAGGGGAGATGACACTTGGTAGTGTACATAGCACTCCTTGTACAGCTGCCCTCTGAACTGGGGCAATAGTCTGAGCAGTCTTGGAGCCAGGAATCCTGATTTTTATCTGCATATCCATCAACTTCTGTGTAGCCTTGCACCATCCTAAATCTGCAAGTAAATGTTGGCAACAGGTCCTGTTTGCTAATCTACAAAATGCCAAGATCTTTGAAAAATGCAGTTGGCAGTATTTATCACGTGTTAATTTAGCATAGCCAATCCTATTTATCTTCTTCCCTCAGTGTATAGAGGTAGAAAGTAATTTGGGAGGGAGTGTATGGAATGGGGACATTTTGAATGACAAAAGAGACATAAAATTTAAAATACCAACCAAGAGCCATCTCTTGGTTAGCAGGGCAAAAACCAGGGCCAATGACCTACACAGGAAGAGAACAGTTACATTTAATTTGTTGGCCTGAGATAAACTGTGAATCATTTTTAGAGCAGTGTGCCTGAGCAGGGCCAGGGTCCTGTAAGAGTTCTTGGCATGTGGACTCCTTTCTGAATTCCTGGTATACTTGTGAAGTTAATCTCAAAATACCCGGGCCCAACTCTGACCTACCTTTCAGGTTATTAGCTGCCTTTCAGAACTCCCAGATGAAGTGGAAATCATGGTAATAGTTACTGTGTCTTAGAAATGAATTTTATGGTTTGATCTCGAGTATAAATGTACAGAAAAGAATGTGGGACTGCACAGAAAAATTGGAATCAAGGAGTTCATTAAATGGGTTTCATAAATGCAGAGATTGCACCTAGTTTGTAGGGTGGTGACATCTTCCTATAAACTATGTGAGCATATTTTGTAAACTGTAAGGTGATGCAAATAAAAGACAATTGTCTAGCAACCAACAGTATGGGCCAGATCTCCCAAGTCATTTGTTTCCTTTCTCCTACAAACTGGGAAGAATGGAGTTAACATGCAGCTGTAAATACTATTACCCCAGGAGATGAAAAGGATTGAGTTATTTCTGAGCTGAACCTACAATATATACAAAAGACAGACAGGAAGCTTGTGGTAAGTAAATAGATCCTTTTATGGACAGAAATGTTCAGAACAGAGCATTTCTGTTTTTTATATTTTTTATTGTGTATATTTCTCGGCCAGTGTTTTCATACCTGATCAGGGCTCAGTAGCCCCTGTGAAATCTTTGGTGGTGGTGACTCAAGATATGTTGGAACCAGAAATAGAGGGGAGAAAGATTATGAAACTTCATCATCTTGGGGAGAAAAGAAGTCCTCATAATTACATTCCCTAGGGCAGTGATGGCAAACTTTTTTAGAACTTTGACTGACAGCAGCCAGCTGCAGTACATGGGCCATAGGTTCACCACCATTATGGGCCTAGGGCATCCTGCGGTAGCGCGGAGAACTGTCAGCACCTCCAGGATCCTCCCGCAACTTCTTTCTGTGGAACTCTCCCCTCATGGTATACGTGAGCAGGTATTACTAAGAGCACAGCATGCCTCATACATGCAGTCGGGGGCACCGCTGATGTTGGGTGTTAAGAGAAGACTGCACAGGTGAATTGAAGCCAGAAGTATTTGAGCAAATTACTAGGGCTTGGGCCAGTTTACACAATAGCATTTTAATTGACAGTGTACAATTTCCCAAAATATATTTTTTAAGAAAATGCAATAATTAACTATAGTCTTTACAAACAAGTTTGTCAATAAAATCCAGTGTACTTCAGACCCCTGTCCACTGAGACACATGCTCCCCAGTCTCCTGGGGCAACTGTTTAACATTTGATACCACCTCACCACCATGAAATAGCAATCCCTTCCATTCACCTGGTGTTCAGTGTTCAGCAGACCTGAGGGAATCTGCTAGTGACAATGAAAAAAGCTAGGCTAGCTACCATTTTATTCTTGACCTCTGTCTTCTATCTTGTTCCCTTTGATCCTTAGTGTGTTAGAAGTTCCAGAAGCAAAAGCTTGTTCAAATTATGTCCTGGCAGAAAAGACACACTAATTTACATTTTAGACCTCAATGACTCAAAGTGTAAAAGACCAGTGGCATCCGTTTCTGTCTGAGTCCTCCCTGGCCTTGCTGGTTTAACTCTTGTGAAGGAATAGCATCTTCTGTGTCATCCTGGTGCCTGTGTGTGGGAGAACTTAAGTTTCCTGATACTTTGGAGGCCCATAGCAAGGGACAGTTGGTGGGACCAAGTTTTAATCCTATTTCTGACCATGTCATTTCAGCAAAGTCACTTTTATGGACTTCAGGGTCTACTGTATCTCTACATCTGTCTCACTTTCCAGCCAGTGCTCAACAACTCCAGTCTTTCCTGGTATGGCTGGAACTTGGCTGGGGAGGAGAAAGAATAATTTGAAAATAATGCCTAATCTGAAAAAACAAATACTTTGTCACCAGCCTTGTCTTGTATTTCATTAAAACAAAACAAAAACTTGTTTCTAGTAAGAGACATTTACATTCTTGTTCAGAGGGGGAAAACAACTCTCAATGTTTTTTCAAAGTATATTCACTTCAAGCAGTGCAGAATAGATAACATGTGGCTGTTGTATTTACATTGTCAAAACATACATCACTTTGAATTTGTTCTTCAAAGTTCCTCCAGTATATTGTCAAAAAAAAAGGAAGATAAATCTCAAAGTAGTAGTTTAAATAAACCCGCTTGTTTTCCTTATCAAGGAAGGGTAAATCTGGTGTATCTAGATTAACTCTCATTGTCTTAAGATGCATGTTCTTCCATACTTCATAGGCACAGTGGCTTCTCTCCCCACTTCATATGACAGCTCAGTGCCCACTGGGTTCCATCCAATCAAAATCATCAGACCCATGGTTTTTGTAGCTTTTGATTCGTGGTTTCTACAGCTTGGGGAAACTACAGTTTGTACCAAAATAAAGAGCTCCTAACTTCTCTTTGGTACAACTGGTTTAAAGTCTTGCCGAGCTGAGCCCCTGGTGTTTCTCTTAACTTCCTGGCCCCACAAGCAAGTACCAGATAGCACAGAGAACCCAATAAAGACATGGGAAGAAAGTAACTTACAGATGCTACCAGCAAGAGCAAGCCAAGGTCTGGTATCATATATTCTGAAGTTGTACTAAAAGGCAGCACAACTTGGATCCAAAGAAAGTAGGAACCTCTGGGTCAGCTCTAAGCCTCCCCAGCTTCTTCCTGGACAGAGCCGTGGTGATTCTTCTTGACCATCATTTCTGCTTCTTAGTGCCTGCAGTATTCTAATCTCTAGAAAGCCCCTGAGGTGGCAATGTCTGATCATTTTGCAGAAGCAATTATTTGCTATCTCTGTCCAATGCCCTACCTGGTCAGCATGACCCAGAATATCCAAAGGAGCAGTAATCTAGCCTTTCACAGAGATGCCATGACAAACTAGCTGGGTAGACAGAACCCAGTGGTGGGCAGTAAGGAAGCAAGCAGACCACTTTCCAGAATAAAAATATTTCCTGTGATACCCTTAACCTGACACTGTTTTCCTTCCTGCCCCACCCCCAAATGCTAGAGGAACAGGGCAGATGTTTGTCAATTGAGCATTGAGCATCTAACTCTTGAGAAATTGCTGGGGGCCCTCCTTGATTCTCTGGCTGTACTTTTTCCTGTGGTATCAGAAAGCTAGACTGTAAAGAAGGACTCTGGCAGCAAGGGAAAGACAAAGGGTTTCTCCCTAGCTCCCCCTACCTTTTGTTATTTAAGTTTTGCCAAAGCAGATAGTTGATTGCAGGGAATTTATGTCCCAGGAACAATACAGACCATGGCCAAAAGTTCAGAATTGCTGTAAGAGATCCCCTTCATTATGTCTACAGGCACCTAACTTCTGAGCCTATAAAAACCACGTTGGGGAATAGACATGGCTTTGTGTTTCCCTGAGATGCCACCAGAAACAGCAGAGGTGTTAAGGCCCCACCAGGAACATATAAGAGGAAACATTCAGGTCTAGGTCCACATGGGACAGTGGTAAATTAGGGACTTTAAAATTCACTGCATGTTCTGGGCCATTTACAGTGGCACAGGAGAATTGGTATCAGACTGACTGAAAGTCTCCAGTATGAGTTTTGACCTTTGGCAATGGAGGGCTAGATTAAAAACAAACAATTGAAAAAAAAAACCCAGACAAATACAACAAAACTCTCAGCAACTTGAAAAGTCCCTGAGTTTCTATGAAACAGTAACACCTGTCTTCCAGTGGTTTCAACTGATTGTCTACTGAAACACATCTCTGCCCATCAGGGGCCCTGAGACAGGGCTGCCCTGTGACGACGACTCTTAACACCTGGGCCTCAGGGATCCATCCCATCAGCTAGCAGTGAACAAGAGAAACATCTTGCTTTCAGTTACTACTGCAGATTTCAGTCCCTGGTGAGTGTAGAAGACCAAAGGAGATCTTGGGGGGCATCTTCAAGGAGAGTCTTGGGGGAAGGGCCAGTGTGAGTACTGAGCCTGAATCAGCTGCCTTGGGGAGGCCATCCTGGGGTGAGACACTCCCCTTTTCTCCCTACCCACCTACCAATCCCTTCTTCAGATCTCATTCACTGTGGGGAAAGAGGAGGTCCTGACCTCATTAAGCAAGGAGATCAAAATCCAGAACAAGGGATCCAAGATCATGAATGACCTGTGGGACTGTGGGAGTGAAAGGGTTTGGAAAGGGAAAGAGAAAGCTGGCAGACAGGACTGGGGTAGGAGACAGAAACTTGGGATTTGTCCTTTTGTGCAGTCAGATCCCCTGAAATGGTACAGGCCTGCTTTCCTTTCCAAGTCCCCCCTTATCGTATGTTGTAGAAGCTCTGAGGAGAGGGTACAAGTGGGCACAGCAGTGTGACTTGGTCCAAATGAGCACTGGACTGAAGGGAAGAATCTCTGTCATCTAGTAGCTGTGTGACCTTGTGCAGCAGCCAGCTGCCCTCCTTAGGCCTCAGTCATGTCACCTACAGTGAAGGATTCTACTAGAGGATCCATAGCTCTTTCTCCCTGTCCCTTCTGCTCATCTCCCAGCAGCTCTGAGCTCAGGCACTAGTGGGTTATTTTATGAGAAGAATCTAGACAGAATGTGATTTGTTCATTTTGAAAAGGGAAAAAATTAAGGCCCGGGGGGAATTGAGAGGAAGTAACCCTCATAGTCCACTCCCTCCCCAGTCTTTCCCTCCTTGAATGGGGAGGCATTTTCCTCCCCAGCCCAAATGGCACTTTGGGTGGTCAGTCTGCAGCTCTGTGGCGCTGACAGGTGTGGCCAACAGACCAGATTAGAGGTGTGTGTCTTCCTCCTCATCTAGATCATCCTTGGTCAGGTTATCCAGAGGGACGATCCAGCTGTCCCCAAGCTCCCCATTAAGGTTGACAACCTTCTTCTCCTGCATTTCAGAAGAGGTCTCCATCACTTCCAGGGTTGGGTTGTCATGGTAACCATTTTCCACTGTCTGCAGCTCCTCAGTAAGTCGTTGCTAGATTGGGGAAGGTGACCAAGGGGAAAAAAGTAATTTTGCAGAGTTGTGAGCCTTCAAGTCTTAATATAACACATAATACAGTCTTAATATAAAACATGTAGCTCCCCATTCAACCCAGGGCCCCAATTTGGCTACAGCAAGCCCTTGACTGTTCGAATGTGGGAGATTGGCTGCTCCTAGAGGCCACTCTGGCTACTGGCCTGCCGACCTTGCACAATGACTCACCCTTCATCCTAAAATTCCCACCTGGTCTTGCATTTACCCAGAAGACAAATCTGTGCCATCTACAGAGATGGACTTTGTTCTCTCACATCCTCTCAGCTCTTTCTTATCTCCTCCTACCTCACTCCACAGTATGGAAATGGCAAGCCTTGTGAGAAAATAACATCCCTCAGGCTGGGTCACTGAGGACCTCTCCAAGTCTGGGCCAAGTAGGAATGGTGTCCCCACAGCCATTCCTGCTGCAGGTGGCACCCATCGCACAGTGGTGCATTCTCTGAGATTCAACCTTGCTTGCACGTTAGGATCACCTGGTGGGCTTTTAACACATACACTGATCCAGAGATCGGGTTCCCGTTGGCGTGTGAGGAAGCTAGGCATGGGAATGTTCTTACGGCTCCTGCTAGTGCGCAGCCAGGGTTGAGAACCAGGGATCTGGGTGGAACTGTCAAGATGGGAGTTCTAGTAAGGCAGGTGAAAGGTTTTGGTTAGACAGGCACACACAGGGTCATTTATATCCAGGGCTCTCCAAGAAAGCTCTGCAAAGTGGCCATTATCCCTCTTCCATAGGTGAGAAGCTCAGAGATTTAACAAAGGCAGAGCCAGGGCTTGAGCCCTGTCTTTCTGCTCCAAAGCCCCACTCTTCCTTCTAGAAATGTATCCTCTCAGATGACCCTGGCAGCAGGTGGCTGCCAAAAAAGAATTGGTGGTTTGGATAAAAAATGTCCCCAAAATGCTCCTGGATTCACAGGTGGGGCTTTTGGAAGATGACTGGATTGGGAGGGCACTAATTTAATCAATGGGTTAACCCACTGACGAGCTCATAACTAAATGGCTATTAGGTGACGAGGCCTGGTTAAAGGAAGCCGGCCAAGGGGGCACGCCTCCGAAGGGTGTATCTCTCTGCGGCTCTTCCTCGCTCTCTGGCTTCTGGGCTACTATGAGTCGAGCAGCTTTGCTCCACCATACACTTCTACCATGTTGTTTTGCCTTGGATCCAGCCAACCACGGACTGAAGTCTCTGAAACCTAAGCCGAACTACTATGAAGGTGTGTACTCCAGGTATTTTTGTCCTAGCAAGGGGAAAGTGACAGGGTGGTTTCTGCCTGCTAGAAAAGCCCCAGTCTACCCACTTTGCCCTGCTGCACTGTGGACTGACAGAATGGCTCCTGCTCCAGCTGGAGAAGGAAGAGCCCACCTGATCCTTCCTCTGGGCGAAGCGCTGGTGGCAGCAGCCATAGAGGGCTGCAACGAGGAGCAAGAAAGATGCCATGCAGACGATGGTGATGATGAGAGGCATGCTGTAGCGGTCCTCGGTCATTTCTGGTGGACCATCATCCCCCAGCTTCATGTCACTGACTCCCAACTGGCCAGAAAGGAGAAGTTATTTGATAAAAATGCAGGCTGGTCCCTGCCCCCACAAACTTTCATGTATCTGCTATTCTACATGGGGTCTATTGCTATGGCCCCACTCCTGGTGGCCCATGAGCTCTTCCATGTGTGAGGGACAATGGGCCTCCAGCAGAGGCTCCTGACCCACCCCTCCCAGCACACGGTGGGGCCCATTTACCTCTTCTAGTTCATCCCATTGGTCCTTCAGTGATTTATACACATCCGTGGGAAGAAGGTTTGCTGTGGGAAAGAGTGAGAGCTGCACCTCTGGATCCGAGCTCGGAGTGACAGGAGGTTGGAGGTGGGCCCCAGGAGGAGGGTGCACTGTACAGTTCACCATCTCCTGAGTGGCCCTGGGAAACCGCATGGCTTGACCCTGCTTAGACACCTGCGGTGGCATCACTCGACCCATCCTCCAGTGAGATGCAGGCTCTCGCCTACCTCTTCCCACCCTACTCCCACCCACACAGGCATGGGCCTCCTGCCTCCAACTCACTCTGAAAGCTGATGTTTTTGATGGCCACAGCATGGCCATTGGGAACAGGTGCTAGCTGTACGTTGCAATTATCTTGACCAGGGTTGAAGTTGGCTTTGACTGCTCGGCACAGCACTGTCAGCAGATTCTCGTTCAGGAGATTCTTATTCTGTTGTGAAGAGAACACACACGATTCCTGAGGAGTCATGGCAGCAGCCCAGGCTTAGAGAGCTACCCTCAGTCACTCCACACTCTAGACGTGTCATGCCCAGCCCACCAGGATTCAAGTGCTGTCCTGTGTCAGTCTCGGCTGGCTCTGCACCTTCCAGCCGCTCCCCATCTCCCTCAGCTTTTCTTGGCCTTTCCCTCCTGTGCCACTTTCCTTCCTCCAAGCTTTTTCCTGATCAGGAATTGGTGCCCTGTTGTGAGTCTTCCCCAGCACCGCACAGCACCCCACCAGTGAGTGGGGGGTGGGGGAGGGGGGATCCAGTGCTCTCTTAAGCTGCTATTTGCCCCCCTCTTGCACACAGTGCAGAGACCTCAGGAGCGGGGGACCACAGCTCCCAGCAGGATGACCCTGGGCCCCTCCCCTAGGCTAAGGCACTGAGGCCACGATCAGACTGGTAGGGAAGGCAAAGTGCTGCTGAACAGAGCAAAAGAGGGATCCTGAAAACGTGTGAGAATTGCTTATATATGCAATGCAGTGGGAAAAAAAGGTGACAGGTTCACATTTTTTAAAACTTTACAGTTAAAGATACAGTGCCATTAATCCCCCCCCCCAATTTGGACACACTTATTCCATCTTTCTTGCCACTTTCTGAAGCAGTTCTGAATATCTTTCGTAAGTATCTTTTGTTACGCTGCCATGGTCGTCTCTGTGTCCTCACCTGATTAAAAATGTTGACTTTTCATGGTCATCCTCACTTTGGGAAGAGCCAGAAGTTAGTTACATGGTGCCAAAACCCAATGAATAAAGTGGATGAGAAGGCTGTTATGTTTTTACACGCCTGATTTTTCAGGGGATGCTACCTGGTACCAACATTTACTGTTATTTTTGATCACATGTAATAAGATACTCAGGAAAAGACTTACTGAACTGCTTCAGAAAGCGGCAAATACAATGGGATAAGTGTGTCCAAAGCAAGCAGAAGTATTTTAAGGGAAATTAATGACAATATTGTTTTCTACTGTAATAATTTAAAAAGAACCTCGGGCTGGGGATTTAGCTCAGCGGTTCGGTGGCCTGCCTTGCAAGCGCAAGGACCCGAGTTCAATCCCCGGTACCCCAAAAAATAAATAAATAAAAAGCACCTAAACATTCACTGAATATTGTTCACACCATCCGTGTGTAAGCAGGATGAACATGGCAACATGCCTGGGGCTTTCATCAGTGACTTCCTTAGGCTTCGTGACACCCCACCCTGACAACAGGAAGAACCCAGCACTTTCCATCTTTCTTTTCAAGAAATGAAGAGAAATTCTTCTCTCAAACAATACACAGCTCAGCAAGTGTCACCAAAAGACTGTCCCTAGGATCAATCAAGGCCATTCCTGCCTTGTCTCCAAAGCCTAACTCCGGAGAACAGTGCTCCCCTTTAAAACTCTTTTAAGTAGTGTGTGCATCTGGAAGTTTCACTTGGGAAATAACAGCAAAATGGATGCCCAAGAGAAAACAGTGACAGAAAACAATGACAGAAATACCGGCGTTGTGAGTTCTATAGAAACCAAATCCTGTTCTAATTCCTACGAATAGTTGTAAAACTACGCACTGGCCAGGAGAGGGCAGCAGTGAGCCAGAGACCACCTGCATTTAACAGCGCTCAAAGGCTCTTCACTAAGAGATGGGCATCTGAACTGGAGAGGCCAGAGTCTAGGACAGACATCCTCTGCTACGTAACCTCTTGTACACACACAGACCACCCACAGAGGAGGAACAACCATGGGTGGTGGGTCCCTCTCGTTCAACTGGGGACCCTATTATATATCTCCTGTCCAGGCCAGAGCTCCTTGGGTCACACTCAAGGAAAGTTTTTGCTTTTTTAAACTTTTTTCAAAGATACTGACACCCAGAGCTGGAGGCAAACAGGAACTAGGATCAAGGTATCTCACACCTCAGACCACAGTGAAAGCTCAGGAGACCTGGGTCCTTGTTCTGGCCCTGCGACAGACAGTCCTGTTGGTCTGACCTGACTCAGACAGGTCGGAGCTTGGCTTGTTGCTCTGTAAGATGGGAAAGGGCCGATCCCCATGCAAACCCACACCTCAGTTCCCTCCAGGAGCACTGTGGTCCCTTGGCCTTCGTTCGCCTACATGGTTGGGGCTGGGGCTCTGTGAGTAGCGTTCACATTACTCACGCAGTGGTTGGTTCCTGGGTTGGTTCCCTTGCTTGTCAAGTTCAAGACAAGCAGCTTATCGATCGGCTCCTTGAGAGACTCGCAGAGTACCTGGAAGAAGTCACAATATGGAGGTTCAGGCAAGGTGGAGGGTCTTGCACGCTCCCCTGGGTGAGTGAATCAGAAAGGAAGAGGTTGTGGCAAGCTGGGGCACAGCTGGGCCACTCAGACCAGGCAGGTCCTTGGTGACCCAGCTGTCTCAGAAGCTCTAGGGGTGGGGAGGGAGGCAGACAGAGTGACAAAAAACGGACAAAACTTCTTTACAGCCCAGGAGGAAGCCTGACAGAAACACTTTTCTTTAAATCTTTTTTTTTTTTTTTTTCCTACCCATCATGGAATTACCGTCTTATTCCCAAAATTCCAGAGTTTAGTGGGTATGCTGGGACTTTGGGAAGCCGAAACAGTGCTGAGGCTTGTGGGTCCCCTGACGCCAGGCACAGTCACAGTTCCCGCTGGAGAATCCGTGGGCTGTGGTGTCACAGAGGAAGAGGATGAAGGGCTGGGAGACATCTGGCTGCCCGACATGGGGCTGACTGGCACCTGGCTGGCTGTCCACGTGCCGGAGGCCTGCTGAGTCCCAGATGACAGGTCCACTGGGGCTGTAATGGGGGAAGCAGAGGCTGTGAGAGGTGAGCTGTACCCTGCAGAGGAAAGGGCAGTCTCTTCTGGCTTCAGTTCATGCAAGCTGGAGCCACCCAGCAGGCTGTGAGGATGAAGACAGAAGTGATGCCGTAGGAACCAGTACCATCTTATAGGACAGGTCAGGCTGGACCAGCTGGACTAAGAACCAAGACAAATCACAACAATGGTATTTCTCGCCATAGCTAATATTCACCAAGCACTTACAATGTGAGGTGTCGAGGGTACTTTCCTAGAGAAAGGGACTGTCCTTATCCCCATTTTATAAACAAGGAGACTGAGGCTTGGAGGGACTTAATGATTCACCTGAGATCATATGCCAGTGGGTGGCAGAGGGGTATCTGAACACAGACTTGTCCACCTCAGAGAACTGCTCTCCTGCAGGACACCACCACTGTCTCCCACTGCAGCAGGCCGTGAACTCTTTCAGGATGTAACCATGTCGCCTGAGCACCTAGAAATGCAGTTTCAGGCTCACATCCAAAATTCTGGTTCAGCAGAACTTGAGATGGGTCAGGGTTGTGAGGCTCATGATCCATCAGTAGAGTTTGAAATTAATTTACTAGGCTAAGACCAGCACTTTAAAAATAAGTTAAGGGAGGGGCCTGGGATTTGGCTCAGTGGTTCCGCTGCCTGCCTTGAAAGCAAAAAAGGGCTTTCAATGTCTGGTACAAAAAAAAAAAAAAGTTAAAGGCAGTGAAACAGAATAGAAAAAATCAGAATGTACAACATATAGTGAATCCTAGTTAGTCAAACTTAGCTTGACTGATGTGTGTGTTTTTTGGATTATAGCGTAACATTCAAGTTTCTGTGCTTTCTTATGTTGGGCTGCCATCAAACAGGTCTGAGAAGCACTGTTCTAGAACCTTCTCATACCCTGTCTCCACCAACACACAGTCTTGCCTGTGGACAGACGGCTGGCTTGTTTACGTGCTCGCCTGGGCAGACAAAACATGGAACTCTCCTTAGACTATGTGCACTGTTGGCCTCTGCTCAGCCCTGAAATGGGAAACCAGGTCTGAATGAAGGCAGAAGATACCAGATGTTTTACTATCAGCTCTATCTTCATTTTAAGCTGATCAGATGTATGGGGGGAAAAAGCCCTGAAGAGCTTCTTCTTGCTTAGGGAAACAAAAATAAAACAAAACCACCAAGGCCTTACTTACCCTTAGTGGTGAGTGTCCTCTGGGCCGTGGGGGTGAGACCAGAGTAAGGCAGGAGGCCTGAACTACTGGAAGGTGTGGTAGAGCTCATCTGTCCCTGAGGAGAGCTCCCGGAGGGCATCGTAGTAGCACTAGCCAGTGGGTTAGAGCTTCCTAAACTGGGCAGTGAAGGGGTAAGAGTGGGTGCTGTGGTCTTCAGGGGTAAATCCTGAGACGGAAAGGTCTCTAGTTGGCTTTGTGAAGTGGGCACAGCATGCGTGGTGGCAGGGTTGACACTCTCGTTGCTTGTGTTCTCAGGCGCAGCAGAGGTGGTGGTGGCAGCGGGATGGCCAGGGCTCCCGGCCTGTGAGTCCATGGTAGTTTTAGCACCTGTGTTACTCGGGTCAGGGGATAGAGTCCCAGAGCTGCTTGGCTGAAGTGAGCCTGTGAAATTTGCAGAGCTGCTTCCCAGGACTTGGTCTGTCTTCTGTAAACTTGAGCTCTGTGCTGTGGAAGTCGCTATTGCAGTCGTGGAAACTGAAGATGGGCTGGACTGGTTTGAGGATGCAGGAGACTGTGTCACAGGTTTTGTAGAAGTCTCATTTGTGCCGATACTGGACTGGCCTGCGCGTGACAAAGCCAACACAGAACTCCGTCAGGATATCAGGTGGGGTCTCACCCCCACTCTGTTCCCGCTCCCACCCCTACTTCTACCTTGCTGAAGGCCTGGGTCCTTCCTGAGTCCCAGACCCTTCGGGGAGGGAGGCCGAGAGGGACACAGGGAAGGGAAGCTCCACGGAGGGGAGGATGATGCCGGCTGATCCGGCCTCATGGATTCTGCACGGGTCCCCGCCCTCTCTGCCCGGCCCACAGGCAGCCCCTCGAGTCTATCCACAGCCCTCTCTCCACAGTGCCAGGGCACAGTGATTCCACGGACTGATGCTTGCTGAGCTGGCCTTGCCCTGCTGTGGGACAAGCGGGCGCCAAGCAGCCTTTCCCGGGGAAGTTATAAGCGGCAAGAGAGACTGTGATAAACTGGGGTCACACGAATGACTGTGTGTGCCATGTGGGGCAGTGCCAGGACTGAAGGGCACGGAGGCTGTGTTCAGTACGGTGGCTTCACCCTGGGGGTGAGACCAGGGAAGGAAGGACTTTTAGTCGTTTAACAAAATGTTGAGTGCAATTTTGTGACAGGTCTTGTGTTGGAACCTGCAGATGGTGAAAAACACAGATACAATGGTTAAAAAACACAGAACAAATAAATGTCAGGTTCTGGAGACTTAAGGGGAAAAAGTGAACAAGGAAATGATGCATGGGGGAAGGGAGATAAAGGGAAGGAAAGACTATCAAGCTAAGGCCTGAAGAAGACTAAGAGAATGCTGTAGCATGGGCAGACAGTGCAGCGACAGAGGGAACAGCAGCTGCAAAGGCCCTGGGGTAGGAAAAGGCCTGTAGAAAATATGTGTGCGTGGAATGTAGCAGGAAAGGGAAAGAGAGGCTCAGAAATTCAGGAACTTCCACATGGGGAACTTCTGATTCAAACCAAACATTTCTAAGAGTAACAGAAGGGCTCTCTTAAAAATGAGGTATAGGGCCGGAGATTTAGCTCAGTGGCACTGTGCCTGCCTGGCAAGTGCAAGGACCTGAGTTCAATCCCTGATCAAAAAAAAAAAAAAAAAAAAACCCACAAAACAACAACAACAACAACAAAAAAAAACCCAACAGATGCAACAGCTGAGCCTGGTGGCACAATCCTGTAATCCCAAAGCTCTATTTAGGGGACAAGATTCTAGTACCTAGCTATAGTTTTTGCCAGGGGCCACCCTACCCCTTTCTTTTCTCTTTGTTTTGTTTTGGTTTGTTGCAGCAATAAGGAATTGAGTCCAGGGCCTTTGTACTAAGATACATCCCCATCCCTTTTAATTTTGACACAAAGTCTAAGTTGCCAAAGCTGGGCTTGGAACTCCTGATCCTCCTGCCTCAGCCGCCCCAGAGTCCTGGGATTGCAGGCAGGTGTGCTATCATGCCCAGCTGTAGGTCATAAAGTAATACTCCTTCTTGTAATTGATGGCATTCTGGTGTCTTCTCAAGAGGTACTTAATTACTGAGGGAGGTATCAACGTGGCTGGGGAATTAGGGGACTCAAGGGTGGGATGGGTACTTTTTACTGTGATGACAAGCTGAAGACTGGGTTTCTCCACTCTGAAACCCTTTGGAATGGATTCTTCTCTGTTACAGGAAGTTATCTTTGCATTATAAGATACTCAGCAACATCCCTGGCAAGTAACACAGACACATAACCCTGCCAGCTGGCACAACTAAAAGTGTCTCCAGGTGTTGACCATAGTACCCTGGGGAAGATAAGTTGCTACTCAGTGAAAACTACTGGCTTAAATAAAGAGGGGACGGGCCAGGGACAATGGTGCACACCTGTATGTCCAGCTGTTTGGGAGGTTGATGCATGAGGATCCAATCTTGAGCCCAGCTTGGGAAACTTTACAAGACCTTGCATCAAAATTTTAAAAAATAACAAAAGCTGAGGATGTTATTCAGTGCTAGAGTGCCCCTGGATTCAGTCCCCAGTACTGGAGAGAGAGAGAGAGAGACCTTAAATTCTGAAATCTCATATCAATGTGCAGACTGAAAACCAGAGACTTTCTAAGACTGCCCTAATGGAATCTTTTTGCAGCTGAAGGGTTCAGAAAGCCCAAAGTTGGATCCCACAACTGCCAAATCACAGTGCTGACTTAACGTACAACCTCACCATGCCTCTTATGTAGAAATGGGAATCAGCTGGTGACATTCGGGAGAATGCAGATAAATGAGAATACACTTGAATCCCCAGCCCCAGTGGAATTCACTTGCTGCAGACCCAACTGCTGTTCTGTCTGATGAGGCTGTAGAGACCTTGCTCAAGATGCTCAGGAACCCACCCTGAGTCACTGGCACAGAAGCCAGACTTCCTTGGTAATCATCGGATTCCAGGGTGCCCCAGGGGTACAGATCCACAGTCTGACCCAGAAAACACCTATGTGCTAAAAATACTTACAAAAGATCTAGCAAATACGTACAAGGGCACTAGGTCAAGGAGGGAACCTTTCTATATCAGACTGAATTTGCCAGTGTGGGAACACACACCAGGGATTTTACATTCAGTGTGCAGGTTCACACAGTTAGGAGCATTCTGATTATTTGCTTAGTTGGTTGACTACAGAGTGGACATCAGACAGCTGAAGCAATGTTTAAGATATAGTCGAACCTCTGGGATTCAGACCTCTGAAGAGGTTGCCAATGCAACATTGCTGAGAGGTAGGAGGAGCTTTTAAGAGACAGGACCAGATGGGAGTTACCTGGGTCTTGAATATCTTCATAAAGGGATTAATGCTGGTCTGGTGGAGTAGGCTAGTTATCACAGGAGTGGGTGAGGCCCCCAGAGAAGCTGATGTCGCAGAGAGAACCTGGCCCCACCTTTTCTTTTTTTTTTTTGGTACCAGGGATTGAATTCAGGTCCTTGAGTTTGTGAGGAGGAGGCAGCACCACTGAGCTAAATCCCAGGCCCTCCCTACCCTCTTAAATCTCCTCTTACCATGTGATCTCTCTCCCTCACACGCTCCTGCCACATGTCCCCGTCTGCTAAAAGGCCTTCATGGAAAACTAACACCATGCTATTTCATCTTCTAGCCACCAGAATAATGAGCCAAAGCAACTTTTTTTTCATTATGAAGTAGCCAGCTTCTGGTATTTTGTTATACAGCAAAGAATGGACTTGGACAGTAGAGCTGCCAAAAAATTCCCTGGAATAGTGTATAAGAAGAAATCCTAAGTACGGAGCAAGAGAAACACGCATGTTTATCCTCTATGACCTGCTCACTACACTCTGTTCCCTGAGAAAAGCTCAAATGCCACTCCCTTTGCAAGGCTTTCAAAATAGTCCATTTCATGAGCCAGGGATTTAGCTCAGTGGTTCTGCTGCCTGCCTAGCAAGCGCAAGGTCCTGAGTTTGATCCCCAGTACCTAAATAAATAAATAAAATTAAAATTAAAATACTCCATTTCATGAATTTTAGGGTATTCATTTGTCATGTCCCTGAAATGAGGCTGTATTACAAATGACTGCAGATCACACTTGGACAGTGTTTTGTTTTTTCCTAAGTAATTGACAAAATAATAGTGCATCATTTATTTATTTATTTGTTTGTTTATTTATTTATTTATTATTGGTACTGGGGATCAAACCCAGGTCCTTGTGCCTGCAAGGCAGGCGCTGGAACCACTGAGCTAAATCCCCAGCCCCTGATGCATCTTTTAATTGGTGGTGTCCAGGGTGTAATCACCTCTGAGATGTTCCTGGGAGAGCTGTCCGCATATTGTGAGAGCTCTGCTGAGCCTGTTCCTCACTGGCCACATACATTAAGAGGAAATGCTGCTGACTTCATGGGGGTTGGGCAGGGGTTGGGGGTGGAAGCCAACTTCATGGGTGGTGGAGGCAAGATCAGAATCGACTTTCCAGGAAAAAGGGGTGTGTATGAATCCACAGTGGGCAGCCACTCCAGCACAGTGACCAGAACAGTCTTTCAAAGGGTTTTGGGGCGGGTGGGCATGTCAGGAATTTTTATTTGTCCATATCGGTGATACAGATGAATGGCTTTCATTTGGGCAGATTCATACATGCAGAAAAAATATTTTGGTCATTTTCACTCTATCGTCAACCCCCATCCAACCTTTCCCTCTAGTTCCACATCTTTTGATTTCAGTATACACAACTCACTTTGATTTCATCTATTGCCCATTATGTGGTGTTACATACACCCCACTCTTCCTCCAGTTTTCTGCCTCTGTCTAATAATAGATATTAGTCTTCTACTCCCTTGTCATCTTTTAAAGATTCTACTTGTTAGGGAGAACGTGAGATATTTATATTTCTGAGTTAAGCTTATTTCACCCAACACGATGATGTCCCATTCCCTTCATTTTCCTGCGATGTATTTTGAACAGTATCTAAGAAGCCATGCTCTCTTAAGGCTCCAAATGTGGAGCGCTCACTAACTTCCTAGCTCTAGGCCCAGCAAACCCACACCTACGTTGAATGACAACAGAGAATACAGCCACTCATTCAGTTCAGGCTCAATGTTCTCCCAGTAGTCACCTTTGGTGAAATGTGTGCTCCTTGCAAAAGGCTACCGTGACGAATGGCTACCCACTGGGTGGCTTAACGCAGCACAAATGAATTCTCTTGTGCTTCTGGAGGTTAGAAGTCTAAAGTCAGCAGAACCACGCTCCCTATGAAGTCGCTGGGGAAGAATCTTTTCTTGCCTCTTCCTAGCAATTCTTGATGCTCCTTGCCTTGTAGCTGTATCACACAATGCTTCCTGGCTTCAACTCATGGCCTTCTTTCCTTTTGGGGGGTTGAGGGAATCAAACCTAGGGCTTTGTGAACACTAAGCATGGACCCTATCACTGGTCTACACCCAAGCCTCCCCTCTCATAACTACACCAGTTGTTGGACTTAGGGGCCATCCTGATCCAGTATGATTTCGTCTTGACCTGATTATATCTGCAAAGACTCGGTTTCCAAATAAGGCCACGTTCACAGTATCCAAGTTTAGGACTTGAACGTTACTAAATCTCCTAATCTGCTCCCCTATATTTTTCTATGAGAAGCGGGGTTCTCAGTTGCAAATATTAATAGTCACCTCTGCTTTAAATAGAAAGAGAATTGATTAAAAAGATACTTAGCTAATGAGATACTTGAGCTGGCTAAAGTATCAGGCTTAAGTCAGAAGCAGCACCCAGGCCTCTCCTGCATGGTCTGGTGAGGCCATCTGTCTACACCACAGGCAGGGGCACC